AACTTTGTTCAAGGTTTTCACTATTATCCCCCAAGGCAGCCTTCATATATTTTATTCGAATTTAGAATCAGTGTTGAATATATATATATAAACGAATATATAATTATTTAAAAAATAAAAATTAAAACAATATACATAAGTTTGATTTGTTTAGTTTGGATGTATCAAATAAATAACCCTGTATCATGTTAATGTTTAGCCTTTTTCTGATAGATCATTTAGCAATAGCAAGTTCCTCATTGATTCATGTTAGGCCACCAACCAAGAGTTCATCATGATTAAGGATAACTGATAATCTGCTCTAAATTCTATAACTCATCCAATATTTGTTTACATTAAATTGTTTATATATAAAACAAATATTACCGGAAAAACCAATAATCACCCAACATAACTGGGTCTAAGACCTCACATGTTCCTTGTCCTTTCTATTCATTATGTGTTCTGTGCTTGTTTTGTAAAGACAATATTAGGCTGTCCAAAATTGAGTTTAGTTTCTAGGTTTAACTTATCAAAATTAATTTTTACATTTTAGAAAAGATTACCTCTTTAATTATAATTTATTATAAGTTAGTACTCATACTTTAATTGTGAGTTAACATTATCCAGTAGACTAGATGCCGTAAGGCAGTCCCACTCTTGTCGGGTATCATGTACTTAAAATTAGACAAATTTAATCATAGAGAGTTATCCTTAACTCAGTTTGCTGATTATCGAATAAATACCTATCTAAAATATGTATACTTGTATATATTTAAATTGCACTTTACATAAATTTATTTACCGATCTTAACGATAAAAGAGAATGTTATTATCTCTAGAGTGTGTGCTTTGTCAGTGACTAGTAAAGATTCTGAACGGATATTAACCTATAATCTTCTCAAACTATTAAAATAATACATTATATATTAAAAAAAATAATTTATTGACATACATGATAATATTCATCAACACAAACACTCTTTTAAAAAACGAATATAAAAGCTAACAAATCCACCAAGGAATAAATATTAGAATTAATAAAGAATAAATTCTCTCGAAGGTCTTCAGTGCAAGCAATCAAAATCATTTTACATGGAATTGACTTCATTATAATAACCAATCCCCCTCGATGTGTTGCTGTCAAAACTTTTCCCCTCTTGAAAGTGATTCAAATAGTGTCATATATATTTTGCAGGGCATTCCACAGTAAGTGACGGCTATTATGAAAACAAACATTGTTTGTCATATATATTTGGAAATTAAATTTGTAATATATGGGCAATAAACGTTATTTTTGTTTTAGTTGGTATTAGATCCCGAAATTAATCATATATACACCTTTTTATGTAGAAATATATTTGTCTACAGATTAATATATGAATTTTTCATGTACGTGCGGCATAAAATTTGTTTTACACACTGTTCATTTTGATGTCATTCGTTCTATTCAAAGCTTATAGAGTTATATTTTAAGGTTTACAATTTAAGGTACGTGGTTGAAGATTTTATAGTATTGGGTTTATAATTTCATAGTTTATGATCCATGACTTAAAACTTAAGATTTTATAATTTAGAATTTAAACTTTGTGATATATGATTTAAAGATTGGAAAGTCTAAAACAAATAAGTTACGTAAAATTTATTTTACATAAGGTTTTTTAAAATTTATGTTTGGACCCTTAACTCCATTTTGTTTGTCTTGGAAAGAACAGTTCATTAGGCTGCGTTTGGTTCACGAAATGTAAGATTACCAGTGAGAATATGATTACTGGCGGGAATAAGATTACTGTGAACGTTGTATTTTGTGTTTTGTTCGTTTAGCAGGAATGTAAGATTACAAGTTTAGCAGGAATGTAAGATTACGATGTTTGGTTAAAGTAATAAAAGATTATTGGAATGTATATTTTACTAAATTGTTCTTATTATATATTTGTTTTTTAACAAGTTGAATTCTACTATCATATTACTATAATTAATTTATATATTTTCTTTAAAATTTTAAATTCATAAAATTTATATAATTTTTTTTACAAAATTGAAAAGATAAATAGGTTTAATGAAATGGTAAAATTTTATTTTAACCCCTGAACTTCATATAAAATTCTAATTATAGACTTTTTTTTGTAAATTTAAAATAGTTTAAGGATAAATTTGTAATTTAACCTTCGTAGATTTTTTTATTCAATGACAGAATGAGAATATTTTTGAAAAAAAAAATTACGGGCAATTTAGTCAAAAACACTGGTAATCCAACAATACCTAAGAGAAGGGGTATTCACATTCTTGGTAATATACCCCAAAATACCACTCTTAGGAATAAAAAATTACCAGGGACTGGAAATGTTTACCAACCAAACGGGAGAATGACATTTCATTCTCACGGTAATCCAATATACCGCCAATCAAACGCCCCCTTAATGTGTTCGTGGTGTTACCTGCTCTATGATATATGGATAGATACGTCTTAGGATTGAGTTATCCATTAATCCAATCGTAGTCAAATTTAAATTAATATTTTAAAATTGAAACGTATATAATTTTTTTAAATATATAACTATTTCAAGGATAATTATTTTATTATTATTTTGAATAAAGGGGTGCGTATTATGGATAAGGTGGTTGGGAATGTGGTTTATTTGGCCTCTTTCTTATTTACATGACAAAAATATTGTTTTTAAAGAAAAATTGTATAAAATATTTCATGCAAAATACATTGAATCTTGTTTGTTAGTATCCCACTTTATCCCATCGTCTTTGTACAAAGGTTAGGCTATCGTCGTCTCTATGAAAGCTGTCGTGTTCCCACTACTTTTGATACGAATGAAAATGAATTACAATGATTGAAATCCAAACTTTACAGTACATTCAACTATTTTGGATAAATGGTTTATCTATTATTTTCCCTGCGCATGATGTTGGGTAATACATATGGTCCACATCTGTAGGGCATGATTAATGATATTCTTCAATTAGGATGACAGTCAAATATAATTTCATGGTTTTTTATCATACCCGTTTCAATTGAGAAGATGATATGTATAAATTGAATGAACAGTAGATAGGTGTGGATGTAAAAATTCAAACCCTTTATGAGTAGTGGAGAGGTGATGAGTTTGAGACCTTATTCACCTCACATCGCACCCGCTCCAATTTAGATGAGGATGTGTACAAAATTAGTTGGCATTGGACGGGTATGGATATAAAAGTCATACTCGATATGATAGTAGGTACATGATGGGTTTAAGATCTTATTTAGCCCATATCTGCCTGTCCTACATATGCCCGTCAACTAATTACTCACCATATGAATTTCGGGTCTTTTATGAATTTAAGTATAATTTAAAAGATTGTTCGATAAATATTAAAATTTTATAGGACATAACTTGTAATTTAATCAAATATTATGGTATAAACTCAATCAATCTTTAATTTATTATATTATACTTGTTAATGAACATGTCTATTTTATGTTTTGTTGTTTATATAATTTGTGAAATTGTTACCATACGGATATGGAAGAGTACATGTAGGTACAATATGAATGGTGAATATCTAGTTATATATTTAGTATGGATGTGCATTTGAGAATTGTCTGTGTAGACGAGTGTGAATTTAAAAATTTTATATGTAATTGTAGATAATGCATAGGTAATAAATAAAGTATTAAATAAATATAAAGATAGAAAAAAATATCCTCATCCGTCCCACCGGACCATCCATTTACCATCCTTACCTCCAATAAAAAAAATAAAACAAAAAAAGTAAGGAAAAGTTAAAAATAAACATAGCTCAAACTTCTGCAACAATATGCTAAAATAAGTCCATAATATTTGTGCTGCCATTTTTCCCGCTTCACTGTCTATTCAATCAATCCTTCACCATTTTTAGCCCTAAAACACACTATAAAACACGACCTTCCTTTTGTTTTTTTGGCAGAAGCATACATACAAAAGAAAAGGTGGTTTTTGTTATCTGGTCAATGGCGGAACCAAGGGTAATTACGGTGTCACAATGCGGCAGCGCCGACTACAAAACGGTACAGGAAGCCGTAGACGCAGTGGAACCGAAAAGCAAGACTCGAACAATCATTAGAGTGGCACCTGGTATTTACAAGCAACCCGTTTTCATTCCCAAGGACAGGCAAATGATCACCATGATCGGTTGCCGAGCTGAGAACACTATTCTTACATGGAACAACACCGCTACTAAAACCGATCATCACCTGTAAATATAGAACCCTTCCTCTTGTTATTCCTTGTCTGATGATTGTTCATTGGGTTTTCTTTTTCCAAGGATGAGAGTGTGATTGGAAAAGGAACGTTTGCTTCTGGGAGTGTGATTGTGGAAGGAAGCGATTTTATTGCTGAAAACATGTCCTTTGAAAATAACGCTCCAGAGGTAAAATCTTAAATTTCTCATTTTTTATGGTTATTTTCAAAGTATATGTGAAAAAGGAGGCATCGTTGACCGGACGGACAGCGGCTGGTGATCAATCTGAGAATGGGAGGAGGAGATGAGCGGCATTTTAGGGTTATAAACATGAAAATGTGGCTAGGGTTTTTAGATACAAAGTGGATATCAGAATATTGGATTATTAACAATGGATTAACGAAATACTTAAGTGGCTCCAATAACCCGATACAAATATTTAAACCCAAATGCTAAAGGTCCAGTTAAGAGACAACTAACTAACTAACTAATTAACTATCCGGCATATGAACATTGGACATAGTTCATATTTCAATAATGTTTTTGTTTCTTACAGGGTTCACACCAAGCTGTGGCAATGAGTATCAGGAGATCGGTGTGCATTCTACAGTTGCAGATTTTGGGCTGGCAGGTACTGATAACCTTCTCATTTTATTTCTCCAGATACATTTAAAAGAACTTTAAAAACAAGATATAAATTCATATCCGATACTCTCATTCGAGTCCAATTAACACAGTATCGCAATGGTTCATGACTAATATATAATACAAGTATAAACCCTCTTTACCTGCACAAGGGAAGACAATACATGAGGGATTGCTATATCGAAGGAAACGTGGACTACATTTTCGGAAACAGTACGGCTCTCTTTGAACATTGTCATCTCCATTGCAAGCCACCTGGTTTTGTCACCGCCCACAAACGTGGCACTACCGAGGAAACCACCGCTTACGTGTTTCTGAGGTCCATAATCCTTAAACACCCTATTACAAAGGCTACTTTACTTGCATCATTTAGCATATGAACAAATTGTGACATGGATGCAGGTGTGTGTTAACCGGAAACGGAGAGACGGGGTATGCATACCTAGGAGGCCATGGGACCCTTTGGAAGGGTGCTCTTTGCCTACACTTTCATTGATAACTGCATCAAAAAGGAAGGTTGGAATAACTGGGAAGATCCTGAAAAGGAGAAGAGCGCTTGCTATATTTCCTTGCATCAAAAAATTTTGACCGTGCACAACAGATTCTGAAAGATGAACCCAGAATGTAAATGGTTCGTATTGAAACTGCAGATGTTTCGGACCAGGATCTCATAGGAATGAAAGGGTGGCGTGGTCCAAAGAGCTGAACGACCAAGAAGCAGAAGAGTTCCTTGTGCATAAATTCATCGACACCGATCCAGAAAAATCTTGGCTTTGTCAGAAAATGGGCCACAGAGTCCCAGTTAATGCCTAGAACTCACTGCCCAAGCTTGCATGAGTTGGATAATAAATGCTTTGGTGGGGTTTTGCCCTTTATATATTAATATAAAACCTTCCTTTGCTGCCATTTTAAGCATAGTCTTAAAGGGCGTTAGGAACATTACCCAATGCTTTGCTTAGCATTGAATATCTCTGTTTTGACCAACTTTATCTTAATCGTTGTTCCCAATAAAGTTGAAGTTTTTTCGTCCATGTTATCCAAATTTTACATTTTTCTTAAACCATACACGTTATTCACTTTTCGTAGTCTTACAATAACTTATTTGCATATTCATCGGCTGAAATGCAGGACTTGTTTAAAATTTGATTAATAATCTAACACAGAAAGGATTATTGCAAACAAACTGATATAAAATCATCTATACAATTATTAAAATGAAGAACAAATATCCAAATCTCATTTAATGAAATGCCCTGAGCTAATTAAAAATGAACTTGGTTAACTGACTTACCCTTCCCCTTGCTGTTCTCTAACAACTTGTTTGTAGCTTCCAACTTTAATGAAGGCTTAAGGGATTATAGAGTTTAAAAATGAGAAAATCTATCTTCTATACCTTGTACTTTCGAAATTCTCTAAACAAATTACACTCATTTCCAATTAATTATCAAAAGCCTTTTATGAAAAATAAATACCTAAAACATATCATTTTTTCATCCGAGTACTTATGATATTTTTTTATCAAAAATATATAAAGTTATATTTTTAATTAAATTGACACTTATTTTTTTGGGTTCAAAATGGGTATCTAAATTATTTAATATTTTCACTAAATATTTAAAGTATTTTTTTTAATTAATATCGCATGTCAAATTTTTTAGAACTTAGATGAAAAATATTGAATGCTTTAGGTATCTATTTTAATCAAAAAATACTTTAGGTACCTATTTTAACTAAAAAAAAACTTAAAGCACTTATTTTGATAAAAAAATATTTAAGTAATTAAATGAAAAAAATAATATATTTTATCTACTTATTTATAGTACAAACCTTATAAAAAATAACATCTTTTACTACAACATAATTAACCGGATATATCTGTCACACCCTATAGTTGGGACAAATTTTTAAGGGACCAAACTATATGATTCTCAAATTTTTATGGCAATTTTCAAAATTCCTGAAAGTTCAAGGACCCAAGTTTGATATTGCCCTTCCCTTTTATTGAAAAAATGAAGGGAAAAAAAAGGGGATTGTCTCAGGAAAGACGGGTTAATATACGGCGTTACCGGATACATTAAAAGATATTTAACAAATTCGGTTTAGCGCTACCGGAAATGTTGTCTAATAATAATGTAGTAGGTCTAAGTCATGAAGAAATATTAAAAAAATTGTGCAACCGACAAACTTAACTTGTCGGTTCGTGTCGATCCAAATTAAAAATGTGTCGATCCAAAACGATATAACAGGTAAAACTATGACAAAACCAGTATTGAAATGATAAACCGGTAAAGCGCTACCGGATACATTTAAAGTGTCGGTACTTTAATATAAGGATCGACACTTCATGAATTTAAAAGAGAAGCAGTTTTTAAATCCTATAAAGTGTCGATACTTTTAAAAAATGTATCGATCCAAAACGATATACCAGGTAAAAATATGATAAAACCGGTAACAAAATGATAAAACCGGTAAAACGTTACCGAATATATTGAAAGTGTCGATACTTTATATAAGGATCGACACTTTGTGAATTTAAAAGAGAAGCATTTTAGCGCCTATAATGTGTCGATATTTTAAAAAATATATATCGATCCACAACGATATAACATGTAAAAATATGATAAAACAGGTATCAAAATGATAAAACCGGTAAAATGATACCAGATATATTGAAAGTGTCGCTACTTTCGTAAGTACGTGTAATAAATTATCAACACTTTCAAAGAAATAGGTAATTATCCTTTCGAAAGTATCGACACCTGACATAAAAGTATCGACACTTTTGTATTTGTATCGATTAAATATAAATAATATATCCGATGAAAATATAAAGGTCATAGCTAAATATCCTCTGAAAATAGATAGAACGGACGAGTTTTTGAAATCGAAGCGTAATTGTTGCTGCATTTCAGAAGGCGTTTCTAAAGCGAAGTTTGTTTGTTTGTTGCTGCAGTCGAATCGAAAAGTATGTTGTCGAAACCCTAATTTTTTATTATTACAGTAATCGCGATAGGGTTTTTATATGTTGTTTGGGGTTTTGGAGTAAAGAAGCATTTGGGATCGATTGCAGGTAGAAAGTGATATTCAAGGAAAAATATAAATGTCGATATTTTTATTAAATATTATAGGTAGAAAATGATATTATAGGTTGTATAAATGTCCCGACACATTTTGGTGTGGCCATTCAAATTCTTTTGAAGAAAACCGTTTTACCACAAGAGTAGTTATCTATATTTGTATATTGAATAAAGTGTATGTAACAAATAATTTGATTTGCGTAACTGATATGAAGGAAAAATGGAGTCAATGGGTTGGAAAATTGTTGGTGGAGCAGATGACTTTGAAATTGAGGCCGAGACTCGAAAGCAACCAAAGGGTGGATATATGTACTTCTAGTAAGTATCAATGTCTTTTTGTTATTATTGTTGAAATGGTAATTGGATTAAAGTATTGATAAACTTTAAATTGATTACAATTTTAAATGTTGACAGTATGGCCGAATGCAAAAGGATGAAGGAAGATGGCACACAGAGCGGTTCGGTATGTAAAATGAAATTGACATTGAGTAGTATTTAGTGTTAATGTATTGATTAAGAAACGTTTATGTTTAATATTAGGTGACAAAAGATGTGAGGTCCAAATGGAATTCAATGAGTGATGCTGAAAAGGAACCTTACATCACACAGTCAAGGAATGATAGTAAAGAATACAAAGAACGGAGGAAAGCACATGAAAATAAGGTATTCATTAAACTTGTAAATACGTTGATACAAAATATATAAGAACTATAACATTATATATTGTTAAAAAATGTAGGAAGTGTAGACAAGATGTAGCATTAAAAGGGTGAATTCATTAATTAAACACCTTAAGGAGAAGGGTCAATTGAATGTGCTGTGAGAAATAGATTTTGGATCGTTAGTAGGAGTAAGGGATCGACCTATTCGGAGGGAATTGTGTCGATCTTTGATGGCACAATTTTATGTCAGACAATGTATTGCTAAGTATGGTGATTTTTCATTTCCTCTCGGGATCCCATGTGCTGCAGCCGTATTGGGGGTAGAAAATGAAGGCAAAAGTGTTGTAGAAGTCTGTAAGAGTAAGGACTGGAAAGCACTTGCCTCCAAATATGGTTTGAAGCATAAGGTGACATATGCTGAAATTGAAGAGGAAATAAAAAGTGGATCTTACGTTGGGATGAGCTGAAGGCCAGAGTTCTATTATACCTTGTCGGTATCTTTCTTTGTCCAACGGGTAATACGTCAACGAACAAGGAACATATGAAGCTCATTTGCGATGAAGGCTTGAAGGGTGAATTCAATTGGGCTGAATATATCCATTCGAGATTGATTGAATCAATAATCACCTTTAAAAAGGGCAGCCAGAGATACCTCAAAGGGTGCATAGCAATCTTAGAGGTAAATGAGTTGAAGAACTTTTTTGTGTTTTTATATAAAAATATAAATTTTATTATAAATGCAGGTTGAACTGTTCGATTTTTGGTCGGGCTGTGAGGCAGTGCCGGCTTATGAAAGAACCGGAGTGGCACGCATCCGTGCATGGGGGAAGGAAGAGGTGGTTAGAGTGATGGTGAAGTTGAAGTTGGATAGAGCGAAGAAGAAAGAAAGGGTAATAAATGTAATTAAATAATATTAAGAATATAATCAATGTCTTAATATTGTAATTTAATTTTGAAGGTTATTGGCAAGGATGTAGAGGAGGCAGAGGAGAAGAAAGGAGGGATGGTTGTATTGGGGGATGACAGTGAGTGGGACGACGGTGAGGGAAAACATAGTAACTTCGATATTTTGATGTCTGAATTGGCTGATATCAAAAAAATCTAATTTGATATCATGCAAAGAAAATCAAGAGTCGAAGAGAAACTTGATAGAGTCGAAGATACACTTGAGAGGCATAAGGGGGTAGTGGAAGGAAAAATAGATGGAGTGGTGAAAGAAGTAGAGGTGTTGAGCGGTGAAGTGGTGAAAGAAGTTGGGGTGTTAAGGGGTGATATTAAGATGGTGACAGGTGAAAAATTTGAGGGAGTGGTGAAGGAGGTTTTGGAATTGAGGAGTGAACTTACGGGGGTGAAGGGGGTGGTTGATAAATACTTGGATGAAGGAGATCAATTGAAGGGTGAAATAAAAGAGATGAAGAGCTATGTAGAAAAAAAATACGATGAACTGAAAAAATATGAAGAAGAAAGAGGAGGAGGAAGAAAAGATGGAAGAAATGAGGAGGAAGTCGATGTCATTTATACACCGGAGATTGTTATAGCAGCAGATTTGGATTCGGAATGTCCTGCACCCCAAAAGAAGAAGCAGAAGGTAAGTTGAATAAAAGAAAACTTAATTTGATTTTTATTATGTTGTTGTGACAAAAATTTGTATGCAAAATTGTAGGTTGAAAAAGCGGATATTCCAAGCAGAATTGATGACATCGAAGCTGCAATTTGTGATTATTTATGGAATAGTGAGTTAGAATCGAAGTAAGTGAAATATATTGCTTTGTGAGTTATATTTAAATATTTCATGACAACATATTAATCCTAATGATTCATACAGATATTTTGTAATCTCAATGGGAATCAATTCGCTAGTGTATACGACGTTGCAACGTTGAAGCCTACGGAATGGGTTGGCAGTGTGGTAAGTAGAAAGTAGAAAATGTTAAAACTTATTGAATATGTTCTGATTGTGTAATTAATTTTGTTAGGTTATTGATTTGCTCGCCTGGACAGTATGCTACGATTCTCAGAAGTCACTCCGGAGGATTGGCTACCTTCCATACCACTTAGCAGTGAGTTAAATTAA